CATACATTCTCCTGTCTATTGATGGGGAGCGCCACCTGCTGGAAACTGGGTCCAGCGTCCCATGAACATCGTGAATAAGGCATCAACCGGGACCCCACACACACACACTCTTCGAGTTGTGTATAGCAAACATGACAAAACATACATACAACATATTCACTACCTTACCCTTCCCGAACCACATAAACAAACGAACTATGGGCTGCGCACCCGTGCCCTCACGGTAAGTCAGTATGTAGTCAAGGATTGAGGCTGGCATAGCAGTTCCTTGGTACGGGATGTCGGGGGTTTATACTGCACTTTACCGCGGGGCCGGAACGGGCTCCAGGGACATACGAGGGAACGGAGCATTGTCTACCTCTCACAGTTTATCATAAAACACAGGGATCTCCAGGGTCAATAGATACAGTCCATGATCCACGACTTCGGGTTGGTTATCCTCCTAGTACGTAGCTTAAGGGTTAAGGCTGGCATAGCAGTTCCTTCGTACGGGATGTCGGGGGTGTCAGGAGATACTGCACCTTACCGTGGGGCCGGAACGGGCTCCAGGGATATACCAGGGAACAGAGGATCCCCAGCTCTCTCTACCAACGATTCTCCAGGGTCAATACACACAGTCCATGATGCAGTCCATGCATGATTCACGGCTTAGGGCTGGCTACCCTCCTAGTATGTAGCTGGCTACCCTCCTAGTGCGTAGCTGAGGGCTTGAGGCTGGCATAGCAGTTCCTTAGTACGGGATGTCGGGGGTGTCAGGAGATACTGCACCTTACCGCGGGGCCGGAACGGGCTCCAGGGATATACGATGGAAGAGAGGATTCCCAGCTCTCTACCATCAACTTAATAGGACACTGCAATACACACATGACTCAGGGTTGGCTATCCTCCAAGTACGTAGCATAGGGTTGAGGCTGGCATAGCAGTTCCTTAGTATGGGATGTCGGGGGTGTCAGGAGATACTGCACCTTACCACAGGGCAGGAACGGGCTCCAGGGATATACGAGGGAACGGAGGATCCCCAGCTCTCTGCCATCAAATCACAATAGCAGTAATACAACGTAACACTGTCCACCCTCATGAAGACCTGTAGTAGCATGTTCATACCTAGCTCCCGAAGTCCCCGTGCAATCGGGCCTGCATGGCATCTGCTTCAAGCAGGGTTGAGCAGGGGGGTAGGTCTCTCTGCCTAGCCCGGGTGCCTGCAACCGCTGTCTGGTCAGGTCACCCTGCCAATATGGCAATGGGTGATGGTCCCGGGTGGTTAACACTAGGGTATGACAGGGGGGTAGGGGTGCACCAGGGCAAAAATAATAAGAGGAAGGGTGGGTGGGGTCTTCATAGTGATTCAGCTGGACAACCAAGTGGCCGAGTACTGTGGATAACTGTCATGGGTCTAGTATCCCACCTCTACAACAACCTGGGCTTTAAGGGGGGGGGGGGGGGGGG